CGCCCGCGGACACGACGAGAAAAGAGATGGAGAGGAGAGAGCGAGAAGAGAGAGAGCACCGAGCAGAGAGAGAGGGGAGGCAGAGAGAGAGGGAGAGGGAGAAAATGAGAGAGAGGAGAGAGAGAGTCAGCAGAGAGAGAGAGAGAGAGAGAGAGTAGAGAGAGAGAGAGAGAGAGAGAGAGACATGAGAGAGAGAGAGAGAAGCAGAAAGAGATAGCTGAAGCAGGTGTAAGATTTTACAACGAAGGATAACCACCATGCGAGCTATAAGTGTGTAAGATTATATATATATATATATATATATATATCATATATATGTGTGTTGTGTGATGTGTGTGTGTGTGTGTGGGCGCTGCGTGCGTTCGCTGATTGCCTGTGTGTGTGTTGTGTGTGTGTGTGATGTGTGTGTGTCTGGTGTGTTGTTGTGTGGTTTGTGTGTGTGTGTGCGTGTTGTGCGGGGTAATGCCGTGTGCGTCGTCGCTGTTTGTGCGTGTACCGTGCGTTGCGCGTGCGAGTGCGAGCTGTAGTGCCGTATGTCGGGCGTTGCGTTGCGCGGCGTGTTGTGCGTGCGTGTATGTATGTGTAGGTCACCGCTGAAACAAAAAAGTTTTTCAATCGCTCCGTCAGACCATGTCCTCAGAAAATGTCTAAAATCTGCCCTGCGCCCCATTGACCTTTGACCTGTGACCTCCAATTTCGGCACAGTGATGTCTTTTCCTACCATGATGCTATACACCGACTATCACGAGCGGTTTAGATTTGTGCCGCAATTTTGCATTTCCTCCCTATACCTTAAGGTAAAGAGGGAATGTTCCCTCTTTTTTTACACCTCTTGACCTTTGACCTTTGACCCCCCAGCTTCGACATCCCAACTCGTTTTCGCATTACCCCCCCCCCCACGTCCCGACTTTCGAATCCGTACGTCGAGCCGTTTAGATTTGTGCCCAACTGTTGACGGACGCACGGACGATCATGCGATTCTACAAGCTGCATCCGACTTCGTCAGATGAGCTAAAAATGTGATATATGCTCAAGATTTAGTAATTGTGCGAACCTTTATACGATGCACCGTACACATGACACATGAGTTAACCAACAAGAGTTGTGACACTGACACTTTATTACCGAACATCGAATAAAACACCAATCGTTCCAGCAAGGAATTAAAAAATGTACATCATACCTCCTGCACACAGACATCCTAAACACAGCTCTCTATTAAAAAATGCACTAACCCTAAAGACTGATAATGTTACGTAAAAACAACAAATAAAACGTTTACTAGTCAATCTCTCTACTGCTACCGCGGCAATGACAGGAAATCAGATTCACACGAAGTCTAAGGAATACAATGCAGATTCTTTATATCCGAAAGCAAGGCAAACTTGGCTGGTCCCTACTACACAATACGATGAATACAGCTCTACTGACCATTAGCTGAACACTGCTACTATATCCAGACACTGTGGATCGGGTTGTTATTATAGAGAAGCGACCACAGCTCCGCGCCACGGTCTATGTGACGTGCACGCGAAGGAAAGCAGTTGGTTCCATGCTGTGTAAACAGGAAGATTTGGGATGGCAGACGCAGGTTATGGTGACAAAGATTATTACAGACAGGGTAACCACCTGCTGTGCAAGAGATGTGAAATAAATTAGAATGGCACACGTGTTACCTTGAAGATAAACGTCTCGTTGATGACACACATACACATCACCTTTATGACATATGTAACCTTTATGATATACGTCACCGTGATGACACACACGTCACATTGATGGCATACATATCACCATGATGACACATATCACATTGATGACACACACATCACGCTACACACGTCACCTTGGTGGTATCCACGTCACCTTGATGACACATACGCCACCTTGATGGCATGAATTTCACCTTTATAACGTGTCACCTTAAGGACAGACAGGTCGCCTGGATGACATACACGTCACGTTGACAGCCCTCGTTGCCTTGATGACAAACATACTCAACACGCGCCAAAGTTAACAACAAATATCACTTTGTTGACATGTCACCTGGCCAATGAACGAGACCAATCAACCTTCAATGATCTGTCAAATTTTGCAATGCTGCACGGCTAACCGGATATGCAACACCCGACCGTGTTCTACTAGTAACCAAGGAGCTACATATAACAGTTATATGTAGCTCCTTGCTAGTAACTAGCCATTACAATTCTTAAATTCGTGTTGCCACCTAGTGGGAACAATCGTTAGCCAATAATTCAATCATGCCAACTTAGCTCTAGTTTCATTAATAGTCCTTAAAAATATTACAGACACAAATTAATTATAGTCTCATTGAAATTCAGATAATTTCAATACACACCACTCAATCTACATTAAGACCACAATAATTTGGTAATTTGTACTGTACACTGATCTATACCTAAAAAGGATACTACACTCATGCCACCTAGTGGCAGTCTTTGACAGTAAAAGTGTTAAGGCGCATACAAAAAATTACAGTCGGACTAAAAACGCTTTAATACTTTATGATAAAAACAGTAGAAAATGGAATCTCAATAATATTGACTTGTTCATATTGTTGCATTCAACACTAAATAGAGGGAAATAGGCAAAACGGTTTTGTAAACCATTGAGTATAATATTGATTCACGTCTGGTTATCTTACCTTGCCACAAAACATTTACATATTTTGAAATTATTAAATACAAACCTTATCATTGATATCATGTTCTCTCTTCTAAGAAAATACAGGACATAAAAACAAAATGCTGCTCGTTTAAATACCAGTAGCTAAAAATTAGTTTACAAACATTACAAACATTGATATTACATGATCTACATAGTAGTTATAAACATTTTACAGCTAAATGCACTTTACGTGAGTCTAGGAATGATGCAGCTGTTTCCTTTTGTATGTGCCAAAACCACGCAAGAGTAATATCGGATAGTCATTAGTGGTATAACGCGATGGCTATGACCATGACAAGAACAGCAATAGTTTGTGAAAGAATAGGCAACACAACATTCGTGAGCCTGGCAAAAGCACTCGCTGCAAATGACAAAAACTCGATTTTGGCAAAAGCCTTATTAGCTGGTTGCAAAATATGGCGACCATGACTTACGCAATAGCTGCATGATATAATTGACAATGAATGCTGGTCATACAGCAACAAACACATACTATCAGTACACGGATGAGTACAGAATGTAGATCAGAGTTATAGGTACAGAATGCAGCAGCATTCCTAGAGTTGAATACATGTCCTCACACATATATAGACATTTACTTCACATAACACACGGGGCATATTATTAGACATGCATATCTATCACAAAACCCCATCGTAAATAGGAAAGTATTTCATATCTGCACAAGAGCTTCAAACTTTCGAAACCTCGCCACGAAACATTTGCACAAAATCTCCGCAAATGTTCCACGCCGACATATTCCGCCCGTCATCCCACAGACGAGGACTCAAGCAATATAAAGCTAAATAAATCTTTGGTGTAGGCGTAGAGCTACTATCGTGAGGGTTGCCTGGCAGGGATTATAAAAATAATTGATGAGAGTCCGGTCAATTAAGTAGCGCAAGACAAGGTGAAGAGAAACCAACCGACAACACTTATTCAGATTACACATCATTCTCTTTAGACAGATTAAATGGAAAATACTCCACGCACAATATTCCCACATCTTTTTTTATCATTAACTAAAAAAAACTTACATCTCATTTTCATCATGCTCACCCTGCATTGCCTATCATCCGCAGGTAAAACCTCCAATGACATATTATGTTAATCCATACCATCCGCACCTCCTTACTCCAATTCGCTCTCAACGATCCTGTAAGCATTCACTGCACTAGATGGCGTTAGGGGATGATGGGCATGTTGACAGGCTACCATCCTGGTGATTAGTTTGATTTCTTCTTGCCTCCGATTGTCTGCTGAACCATCCCAAGGACCTTTCCAGTCATCTCTTGCATGATTCCACTCTCACGTAGGCCAGGTAACATGACAAGGAATGACACTGCAATGCAAGTGAATATACAATGAATACGACTACACATGAATACCAGTGTGAATGAATGACAACAGTGAAAGTGAGAATACAGGAACGACGCTGCAATGGAAGCAAACTATGTGATCGCGAGAACAACAGCCAGACGACATTCTCAAGAATGATGCTGCAATGTAAACAAATACGATGAATGACGGGTGAGAATACAGAACTGACACTGTAATGCAGGCGAATACAGTGAACATTAGAATGGCAGTGTACTGAGTGTAGTACAGGGAAGATCGGAATACATGACCGACAACAGCAAGGCTGGGGAATGCTGTAAATCCTGAAGGAGCAGCCACAAAGCACAGTTGGGAGCTCGAATCCAGGAATGACAGTGAAGAAATCAAGTCACGATTAGGAACGATATAATAATGCAATCTAATTTAAAGGCTAGTACGAAATAAGGAAAGAACACCTGGGATTAGACACAGATGAAAGACACTGTTCACGCACGCACGCACACACGCACACACGCACGCACACACGCACACACGCACACACACACACAAACACACGCACACACACACACTGAAAAATGCTCAGTGGAATTTATGATCTTATCTGGCGCTAGATTGCGTAACTAGTTACATACCGATTACGTAAGTCAGGAACAGGTTTGGTATGGTGTTACCGATCCATGCAATGGCAGCCAATGCTCCCATCACTGAGACGAAATACTAAAATGCAGAAAAAAAATCATGTAATTTCTGTATCGGTGAGCCAGGGAGCGAAATAACCGGTAAAGATATAGTCTGAACCTATTGGATTTACTCACGGGCGTGTAGATTGTCACAAACTAATCCTGTAGATGACTGAGCAAATTGGCGCTGTTCACTTTTAACTGACATGGACACGACAAATTAAACGATTTCCTATGTATGATTATTAGCTTGTTGTTGTTTTTTCTAAAATTTTGTGTTATCTTGTTATCATACATTGTTAGCCGAACTATCCCAACTACCATCCGTCACAATTGTCAAGTAGATTTAACCACTAGTATTTATTACGAGGACTGGTCATCAATTTGCTACATGATGACCTAACAAATAGCACCAATCTGCTCCAATCACCAAAACTGATCTGCTACCATTCACTTTTCTGGAGAATGTTAACATTAATTTCGATGTATATACAACTCTAATTCAACTCCTATTTGCTATAATAGAGGGCGTTGCTGCCGCGTGGGCATTGTGTACGTACGATCTTCGGCTTGTTCTGCTTGAGGTCTGCAAGCATGGTGAAAAAACAAGTGGTGTGGTCGCGCACGTGAAGTATGCGCTCACACACCTGCTCATACTTCTTCTCCTTCTCTCCTGTCCTGCGCACATAAGACACGAGGGATTTGATATTATGCTTAATCACAAATTAATTAAAAAATACTGTGTGAAATAAATTGGAATGATGATTACTATGAATTTCTCGGCGTATCAATTTCTCAGAATATCGGACGTATATCTGACCAGCTTATATCTCATAACTGCAAACATGGAAAATTGTTAACATCAGGAAACACTTAACTTTCCACTGCAGCCTCCACAAAAATTAAACAGACTATTTTTTGCAATCTACCTTATATAGATAAGTAGTGGGGGTAGTAGAGGTATATAAATAGCAGCACACATTTTAAATAAAATCATGTAGAAATAACTAATAAATCTATCTTGCTCAATAATGTACAAACCGCTTCGGATTTTTAAAGGATTGTTTGCTACCTTTACTGCTCCCAATTTCTGCGGGGCATGGCTTGACCTATCCAATTTACATCTCCTAATTTTACTATAGCTGTTTATTAGATAGCTTTCAGTTTAACTGTTACTAATTCACTTTTAAATTAAATTATATTTTGGCTGAAAATGCAATTTTCTGTTAGCAGTGTTAGTTGCACATAATCACACTCACCAATTGTCTGAGTCAAATATGTTTGAAGCAGCAAGAGGTACCACATAGTCCACAATGCAGAGAAACAGAGCAAATAATGCCACCGTGGTCAAGATAGTAGGTTCAAAATACCAGAGCATCCTGCAACATTAAAGCAATGAAATTAACATATTATTTAAACAAATTAATGACATATATACATTAATTATATGCAGATACTAGTAATCTATTAGATATATTACAATCATATGAAACTTGTCTTGAAAATTACCGACTAAACGGCATAAAGCACGGCACTAGTGCACGAGACTATATAGAGATAGCGTGCTACAATTCTGTAACTCGTTCAAAGTTAGATGGCGCTACGACTGCATATATACTTACAGAAATACGATGCTAACGATGCCCATTATGATCCCGGCAAAGTACTTTTGCTCCCAGGTGACAAATGCATAGCAAGGCAGCAGTATCTCCCGCCATCCCTCCAAGTCACGCTTCAGACTCACCAGACTGCTCTCCTGTGAGAAGAAATCAATTGACGTTATCAAGATTATTGAATTGTCAAATCTTACACAATTTCATTTTCAACAAAAATATATAATTTTCTTGTAATTTCTGTTGATCAAATTTGTATTTGCCTACTTACCAACATAACATATATTATAACGTGGGTCTATGCAACTAGAATAAACCAGTTTTGGATCAGTGATGGATCAAAAATATTCAGCTATAGTATTTAATGCTGGCTACAAAATTAATCTTGTGAGTTAAATCTTTAGTTCTACCAAACAACCACAGCTAAGTGCATTAATAACTTGCTACACACATACATTGGGCTACATACACATATAAGCTACATTGGGTCTAAATAAATACTAATAGATATATTTTAATATGACAATGGAAACCCCTGTGTTATTTTAAGGTCATGTTTGCAAATAAAATGGCGAATGGTGCACGCACACACGTAGTGATTAGTCGAACCTAACCCGACCCCACCCAAAGCAAAATAGCATGAGCCCTGGGAAAATCGTTACACCGTCAGCATCACTTCTCTACAATCCCACATCCCATCATTTGCAGCTCAGCAGCAGCAGCAGCAGTAGCAGCAGTAGCAGCAGCAGCAAGAGAAGCAGCAGTAGTAGCAGCAGCACCACCAGCAGCAGCAGCACCAGCAACGGCAGGAGCAGGCAGCACCACCACCAACAGCAGTAGTAGTAGCAGCAGCAACAGTAGCAGCAGCAGTAGCAGCAGCAGCAGCAGCAGCAGTAGCAATAGCAGCAGCAGTATCGGGAGCAGCAGCATCAGCAGCAGCAGCTGCAACAGCAACATCAGAAGCAGGCAGCAGCAGCAGCAGTAGTAGTAGTAGTAGCAGCAACATCAGAAGCAGGCAGCAGCAGCAGCAGTAGTAGTAGCAGCCCAGCATAGTAGTAGTAGCAGCAGCAGCAGAGAAGCAGGAGCAAGCGAGATAGTAGCAGTAGGTAGCAGTAGTAGCAGGTAGTACCAGTATAGACGACAGTAGAGCAGGCAGTAGCAGCAGCAGCCCAACAGCAACAACAGAAGCAGGCAGCCAGCAGGTTAGCAGTAGCAAGGTAGTAGCCGTAGTAGCACAGCAGCAGGGCCAGCAGTACGCAGCAGGATACAGTAGCAGCAGTAGTAGCAGTATAGCAGTCGATTAGCAGTATAAGCAACCGTAGAAGCAGGCAGGTAGCAGTAGCAGCAGCAGCAACACAGCAACTAGCAAAACAGTAGAACCGGCCAGAAAGTAGAAGGCAAGTGAGCAGCAGCAGTAGCAGCAGTAGTAGCAGTAGTAGCAGTAGTAGCAGTATAAGCAACAGTAGAAGCAGGCAGTAGCAGCAGCAGCAACAGCAACAGCAACAGTAGAAGTGGCAGAAAGAGTAGAAGCAAGCAGCAGCAGCAACAGTAGCAGGAGTAGCAGTACCAGGAGCAGCAGCAGTACCAGGAGCAGCGGCAACAGCAGCACCAGGCAGCAGCAGCACCAGCAGCAGCAGCAGTAGCAGCAGTAGTAGGAGCAGACAGCAGCAGCAGCAGTAGTAGCAGCAGTAGTACTAGTAGCAGTAATAGAAGCAGGCAGCAGCAGCTGGGTGGGGCAGCTATGCACATGAAGCCCGATCAATACTGAGCCAGCGGCGGCGAGCAGCGTCCATATTTCTGCCACGGCATGCTGTTGCTGCGTGCCTCGCCCTGCTCCCATCCTCAGCATCGTTGCTGATGCTGCGGTGCTCATGAGGGAGGATGACTAATCGTTACAGTGCCCTTAATCGAGAGATAATGCCTTCGCGTACGATACTACACCTAAGATTTCATACTTTCAAACCAACGGCCTATCTGTAACGGCTACGATGGGATTTTTAACCTAAGACGTTTACAGCCTTAGCAGCTGGCTGTGAGCCGCGAGCGTGTACGACTATTGCTGCAGCACTACTAGAAACCTGGTACTACAACAGGGAAGCTGCATGTACACTCTATTACGTAGTTCGCGGCTAATAGCAGGGTTGAACTCGACTCCGCTGGGAACTGTCATATAGAGACGGAGGCAGCGGTTCATATAGGAGTCGATTGCAGGAATACATTGACGGCACATCCCGAGAATAAACTCGGGTTCGCCCTAGACTGACTCCAAGCATCACTGCGGCGGCAACTACTAGTCTAATAGAGTCAACTCTGACAACTGGAAACATGGCACCCCCCCCGTACTAGGTCTAATACTTTAAAATGATCGTATTATAACTATGGAATGTTGTCATGCACGCCTTGAATAAATGATGGGGCATCGCCAGGCCAGATTCAAATTTTATTGGTGCTTAATAATTCCTGATAGCACAAATATGCTTTATATATTGCCTTGTAACAGGCTTTTCAAACCACTTGCACATACATATTGTATAGTTTAAAAAGAGCTATAAACTACTACTTACGCTATGAGCGACATTTTAATAGCACTTTAGGCATAATGAGATAAAACGTGTTTCATTGGTCTAAATTGGGATAAAGTGCAATTAACAATACAGCTATGAGCTGCACACTGTGCGGCCTAACCTATATTTTGGGGCAACTTGTGTCATTCCCTGGGTATAGTGCAACCATTATAAAATTACTCGAGTTAAAACAATAGGAAAGGTTATGCTGCCATTATTATTATATTCAACGCTTCAGAACTGCTTAAGGGGAAGACGTACAAACGACATGTACGTGCACGTAAGATTGTCATAGAAGCCCTGCCGAGATTCATGTGACAATATTGTGGAGATTAGATGAAAAAGAAGCACAACGATACAAAATCTAATGAAGATGCTGTTATTATCGAATCCACGCCAACAATTAATAAATGATAAAGCCACTCAAAAGCGGGGTATATATGTCCGTCGATAACAAAGTTAGTCAGATACAGGTTTACCCGTACATATCGTATAATACTTGGCAGGTCTGCCTTGCGTGTTCTACGTTTGCTGCCTTCATGATGTTAAAGGTTATACTGAGTGTTGAGGTTAACTACAGCTCCTGTCCCACCCGACCATCTTCATTACTGTAGGAATGACTGACTTATGTAATGGAACGAGGCACGTGGTGGAGCCCATATGTACATTAAACGTAATCAATATTCAAACTTGAGGGGACAACGTGTTGTGGTGGCAGTGCCGGTATATTTTTCTGTCTACACCACGCAATATGACCACGTAGCGTAACACAACACAATATAACGTAACAGAATACAACGCAACGTATCGCAACCAACATTTATACCAGGATGAGACCGAGGGCAAATGGACTTGCAGTGCAGATGGTGAGAAATTATATCCAGCTAATCTGCACATTCTTAAGAACGAAACACAGCGAAACACGTTGTTTCTATTTTAATTTACTCGAAGATTAAGAATCTGTCAATCGAACGGGAATTGCTTCCTCATGTAGCATTCTAGCTCGTCCGTTAGTTAATCACGTACTTACGTACTCACTTATAAAACTACGACGCCCTAATCCTTAGTACAATCATTTACACACCATGTCTAGCTATTAAACTAGCCCCTTTATATATGGTTAAGAACATATGTTGAGAAGAAGGATTAACTAGGTGGAAACAGGAACCGGAGCCTTCTTATCTTATCTGACATTTAAAACATGAAATTAGAATGAAAAACAAAAAACAAATAATAAAGATTTAAAACCATGTACATGCCCGCTGTTAATTAAAACCATACTGAATATTTACTCTCGTAGAAAAAATCCACTCTTTCCACCATTATTCCATAAAGTTCCTCTCTGGCTTAAATGTTAGCCCGACCAGGCTGTGCGACGGATTGTCTATAGGTATATTGGTATAGCTATATTGTCTAGGGTATTCTAACCCTAGCAATACCGTTTCTTGGAGCTAGCTTAAATGTATACTACAACACCACCTCACCACGATGGCGAAAACACGTACAATGCAGGCCTGGTATTAGCAGGAGTAGATAATAGCAGGAGTAGATAATAGCAGGAGTAGATAATAGCAGGAAAATTCCATATTATCTACTCCTGGTATTAGTACCGCGTGCCAGCCAGGATGTACTACCGAGAGCATATTAACACAATTACAGTTTACATACGTACAACCAAGAGCGTATTAAGAATTCTTAATACGCTCTTGGTACACTGTTAACGTACTCCTAATACTATCAGAAGTACAATAATTACGTGTAGATTAGATTAGAGATCAGATTCTCAAATTCAGGTACATCTGATACTACCAGGAGTGAATAATATAGAGATTATTATACAATCTTTATATTATACCAAGAGTAGATAATAACACATTACTCTTGATTATACACTCCTTATTATATACTAACATACACAATTTTATACTTTATACTGTCATCACAGCACGGCATTTTATGGACGAGTTTCCCTGCACGACTCGCCACGGCATTTTATGGACGAAAGCACGACTCGCCGAGTCTGGATGTTTACGTTGCGTTCACGGCACAGCAGCACCGACGTATATCCTTTATTGATTTGTTAAACAATGCGGGCGACGAAGGCCAGGTAAGCCGATGGCTGCTGCTATGGCTTCTTTGCTGATTATAATACAGAAATAAGTGAAGGGTTACTTCCCCTCTATCTCGTTATCTGTCTCTTCTCTGTCTATCTCCCGCTTATCTCTGGCTATTTCCCCCTCTCACATCTAACTCTATCTCGCTTGCTCTCTCTCTCTCTCTCTCTCTCTCTCTCTCTCTCTCTCT